GGGTAGAGGTTTTTTTTGGAGTAATTAAGGTAAGACAAACACATAATTTATTTAGCCAACGGTATTCAAAAACAGATTCGGACGGAAGACAGAACGGCGAGAAAAGAAGACGAGAAAAAGTTGAAAATTATGTTCACACGTAGATCTGTGAAGAAAGTTGAAATAATACTAGCCGGCCAACTCTTGTCGAGAAGTTGTCTTAGACACGTCGACCGCTTACGCACGCAGTATTATAATAAAATTTACAAAATGGGAATCAAACGCAAAACAAAGCGGGAAAATTTTAGGGTAGGGCTAGATTAAGATCTAGGTCTGAGAAATTATGAAAAGATTAGATCTATAGATTAAGATCTACTTCTGAAATCTCAAACTATGTTTTATTGCTTTCATTAGATAATATCCCCAACAAGCGTTTGACTTGAAGGAGTCTACAAAATATAAACAATACAAAGTTAAAGTTGAAAACTTTATATTGACACAATTTAGATCGTAAAATAACGGTAAATTATGGGTTAAGTCAAACCAATGTTGTATTTAAATTAGAGTTTTGGTTATTACAATATAAACAAAAGATTACATCATTATTGTTTTCAATAAACGTATATTTTGTACATTTATATCCCAAAAGAAACAAACATACTTTCTTCTTTCAATATCACTAATACAACGCAATTTGGTAATGGAAACTTTGTTTACTTTAAGCTGTTATCAAAAAGACAAATATTATTTGCGGTTGTTTCCCTTGAATCATATTATTTTCTAGGTTATTTCCCTTGAAAATGTGAGCAACGCGCGAAAGAATACGTGATGCTGAAAACAATAGAGTTACCCGGCGCACAATAAACATTCACAACTGTCTAAGACAATCAACCATTACAGGGGTGGAACTGGTCGTCTTAGACAGGTGAGCGTCTTATACAGTGTCGTTGCAAAACAACCAAAAAATATCAAACAAAATAAATAATGCACAAGGACTAAATGTGAAGTGACCGTTTGTACAGGTGACTGTTTTATACACGTGACTGTTAAGAGCAGGTACGACCGTACTAAGAGTTGCCGTCAGTCTGTCTCTCTCTTTCTCTCTCCGTCTATTATTTTTCTCTCTGTTTATCTCTCCCTTCTACCGACACTGTCTTTACTCGTCTCAAATTTTACCTCTCTATCTATCTCAGCCCAATAATAATGAAATAATATGTTAAGTTATAGTTTTTCTGAAAGCCTCAACTGTAAGGTCTACATTAAAACAGTAAGGAAGAAGCAAGTAATGAAATAATAAGCATTAGACAGCTAGTTTTATCACTACCCGAATGGCAGCACATATTTATATACATATTATATATATA